TTTTTTTAATAATAATTACTAATTTTAATATGAATTTTTAAGATTTTATGTATCATAGGTGACTTATTTTGGCATAAATATGTTATCATCTACCTTTTGGTATGATGATTTTTTACAATATTAAATTTAAGATGTTGTTATGTATAATGTTAAAGTAAGAAGATAAATATTTTGGTTTATTGGTTTATTGTCTGATCTGACCTATGCTTTTTTCATAGCATGTGTATTTTAGTTTCTTGTCTGTGACTGGTTCTATATCCATCAGGCATATTTGTAGCCCAGACTGGATCAATGGAATTTATAATAAACTAAACTAAACTATTATGAACTGAACTTTTATGCATAACTTTTTCCCAGAGTGCAAGGGTTACTTTTGACAGTAGGGAATTCACCTTTGTCATAGTATTTTAGAACGGTTCTGCACAAAACATCTTGGAGTTCATGTAGGTATGTCACTGATTTTGAATTGTTTGTGTTTGCTGGATGGGAGTAACACTTTCTCACTACTGCCATATTTTCCTCTCTTTACCACCCTGCATATGTGTGAAATGGTATATTAGCTTTCACAGACACACTTTAGCTGTCAGGTCCTGGCACTTAGAGAAATCCAATCTACTTCATTGTTCTTCAGACACATTTTTTTTGAAGAACTTATATATATTTAAAAGCATTTTTGGAACATTTCTACCGTTCTGTATTTCAGCATCCCGTTGCAATTGTTCAACTTAGCGTCCATTGTTTATCTTCCATCAAAATTGCAACACTCTTCTATTCACCTCTCAATTTCACTTCAATATTCTACACTTCAACGCTACATGTTTTGGCCCCAACCGGCCATTTTCAGGTGTTTTTACGTTACAGATATTTAAAGTTAAATATCTTCAGGTGTTTTTACGTTACAGATATCTGTAACATAAAAACACCTGAAGATGGCCGGTTGGGGCCGAAACATGTAGCGTTGAAGTGTAGAATGTTGAACTGAAATTGAGAGGTGAATAGAAAAGTGTTGCAATTTTAATGGAAGATAAACAATGGACGCTAAATTGCTACCTTTACTACTGGAATGACTACTACCACTTGTTAGCTAAAAGGTAAAAGGTAAAGCTATCCCTGTAACAGGCCATGAAGGCCCATAGGGTTCTGAAACATCGAGGCTCCCACATTTTCTCTAGACATTCGGCTCATAGATGGTGATGAGGTTGTCAGTCTTATGTGCTGGTCACCCTTTACTCCCCAGGAAGATTCCTGGTACTCATTTCTGTTAGAAGCTGAGTCAACCTGAGGGCCATAGTGCAGCTGGAGGGACCCTTCCTACATCCTTGACTCAGCCCCCAATTATTTTCATTTGTCTGGACCAGTGAAGATGCACATAGGAGGACAGAAATTTCAAACTGATGATGAATTCAAATGCAGTTCCCTGAACTGGCTATGCAGTCATGATAAAACTTTTATGATGCTGGTATCAGTAACTTGCCAGGATGTTGGAAAAAAATGTTTTAGTGTAAGGAGAGAAAATTATAACAGGACTGAGAGTTTGGTGATTCTGGTATGGTATTTTTTTTTTTTTTAAATATTGTCGTGTTTGCTAGGCAACATGACAAGAAATTTTCGTGGGTCTCAGATTTGATCAAATATTTATCAGACGATCCCGCTTTACACTCACAAGTACAATGATTCACACTTATTATGTCGTCAGACGTTTCCTCTTCACTATTACACTTACTTGCACCGCTGATCTTGGTGAAATATCTTCTGCTCTGCTTGGAGCTCAACTGTCCTTGGTCCCTTGTAAGATATGAACTCACTCCTGCTTTAGTCAGCTAAGAATTGTGCTGGTCTCTTGCCAAATACAAACTGTTATATCTTGCACTCTGACTGTATAGGGAAAACCTTGTCGATGGATTAATTTCACCTGCTGTTATGCAAACACTGTTTCAAACAATTCATTTATTTGGATATTGCTAGCTGTTGTATAGCAATGGATGCATACTGATTCCTAGCCGTTGTCGCAGGACCGTTGCTCGTTGCCTAGGAAATCAACCCTGATCTCACTAAACCTTTTTGGCGGCACGCCACAATATAAAGTCTAGGTTAACCTGTAACAAACTCTTGTAGTTTGTTTTATAAGCTTTTGTAGTGTTAACTTCATGAGTCATGGTAGCCCAATCAGTATAGTGACTACTCCATGGGCTGGACAACCAAGTAATCAAGATTTAATTTCTATCAGGGCCAAGAGAACCAGTTCTGGGGCCCACCCAGCCCCCTATCCAGTAGATACCGGGGATTGTTTCCCTGGGGGAAAGTAGAAGAGGGATGAAGCTGGCCACCATTCTCAATCTAATTCCAGAGTTAATGGTGGAGCTATGCCTCCATACATCTTCATATTATGGTCCTTAATTAATTAAATTTTCACCTTATCTTTTAGTATTTACTTACCCTGCTTCCTTCTGTATTTCATTCTTGTCCTGCATGTTACTGAATCACATACTGAGGCTGGCATTAACACACGCGAATAATAGGCTCATGACACCTCCACCTCTGCCAGGTGCAGGGAAAGATGAGAACACAAGTGAACATGAAGCTACAAGTGGAGATGGCAGAAACTTTCTCCTTTATGTACTAAATTACACTTCATGTACCCACTTCAAAATGTTATGAGTACTCACAGAATAGACACAATACACTGAAACTAAAAGTGCTTGCTTGTTTGTGACCTATATATGTGGGGCAATCCAAAAGTTACCGAAATTTAAATTTTGCGCGCGAATGGTTATGAGTACATCGAAATACCACTAGATGTCTCCCCACACACCCTTCTTGAATCAGTGTGACAAGCGGCGTCGATTTGAGTGGTTGGGTTTATTGTTGGTGAACGTATTTCCATTGTTGTGTTTCCATGGGTTTGCGGTTTTGCGATGGCTGACCTGAGAGAGCAGCGTGTCTGTATAAAGTTTTGNGAAAACAGCTGCAGAAACGCACCAAATGTTCAAGCAAGCTTTTGGTGACAACAGTTAGGCCAGACACAAACTTACAACTGGTATAAGCGTTTTAAAATTGGCCGAACATTGACTGATGATGACGATCATTCGGGATGGCCGTCAACGGGCAAAACACCAGAAAATGTCATGAAG